CCCCCCCCCCCCCCCCCCCCTCCCCCAGAGAATTTCCCCGACCATCGCCGTTTATTCCATACTCATCGTTCCAAATGCCGAACCAAGGAATTTATGGGCCTTTGAAAGAACCGTCGATGCATCGTGCGATGCCGGGACGAGAAACAATCCCGGAAAAAAGAGGGCTATGCCCTTATATTCTTAGGGTCTAGGACACAGCTTTTGGCCTGCACTCCAGCAAAACATCGAAGCAGGATTCTGTGTTTGTGGCATCCACCCCCTCAACGGAGAGTTGTTTCACGATGAATTCGCTCTGTCGTCGATCGTCGAAAAACTCCCGGTTCTTGGAGTCCCGCACGTGGCCCTTGAAATGTCGTCGGCTCCGCCGATCGACGATCGAGTGCTGCATGTCTCATTTCGGCCTCTCTCGGTGGTTTGAGACGTCGACTCGAGGAAGAACCTTCGAACTCCTCGACCGGCTGCATCTGAGGATGATGCAATATACATAGACTGAGGATGATGCAGAAAGATACAAGCGACCGAAAACCCCTTCCGGGTTGGACGCTCGTCCCATTCAAATCAGGGAGTATCACCACCCCAGCCGTTTTCCTTTTAAGTCATCGCGTCCGGTCACGTGAACGAGAATAATCAATTGAAGAGATGATGACAGTAGACTGGAAGCGGGAATAAAAATGGGGCGCTGATGCATCTCAGTTGACGATGCCCACGGCTGCCATGCTGCATGAGATAACCGATGATGCGTTTCCGCAAAGGAGAAAGAAAGTGTAGAAATGTGCCAAAAGTGTGACTCACGAAGTTCCTCTGTGTTGCCCGTGAGAAAATTTGTGGAAATTGGAAAATATATTTCACACAAAAGATGAGAGGAAAGATAAGGAAGATATACAGGAGCTAAGAAAGGAGGGATTCGAAGGGGTTCCCTTCCCCTCCAGGCCCGAGCAAGTAACATTGCTATTACAGTGACGGGAGTGAGTGTATGCTCTAAGTGTTCCTTAGCCACACTTAAATTTTAGAGCCTGCTCGCTACTGCTTAACAAGATCTTAGTGATGCGCGAACAGAAGCGACCATCATCGAGGAAGAGAAGACGAGATGATTTGGCAGCACTGATGACGATGCCCACATGTTTGGACTCAGGCCTGGTCCCAGTGTAGGCTTTGGCCTATGACTGTGGGAAACATGTTTTACCGGATTAAGCACGAGCATCGTACAACAAACCAGGATTGCATTTTCCCGTGTAGAGATAATTTAGACAAAGGCTGTTCTCTATGTTGGCAATGCCAAATTTGGAAGGAGGCAGTCTTATGACAGCTTCTTTTCAACTATTCACAGTTTTTCTCTCTGCTTTGGTTTGTAGGTTTAAGACCATGGCAGGGGAGACGTTGGGCATTCCAAGTGCCAATGATTCCCTAAAGAAGGCAACTATTAGATCACCATTCACATTGAAGGAGTTTTCTGCCCAAGGAGAGACAGAGTCAAGTGAGGGACATGCTATTGTGAGAATGCATCCTCCTTTGTGGCATACTCCAATGACAGTTGAAGAAGAACCTGTAAGATCAAGTCAAAACCTGAGCAATGCAGAAAACAATGAGTCAGCAAGAGACCCTACTGCTAGCCCTAGTGGAGGCAGTGATGGCAGACAGGGAGATTTGCCTGTATCCAGAGTTCTATTGGTGCCTTTTGGAAAGGACATGGAAATGTCTCAGGTGAAGCAGTTCTTGATGATTTGTCCCATTCAATCAACACAAATAGAACAGAAATCAAAAGCAACAGAAGTGGGAGATGCACTTCCTCATGATGAAGTTGATGAGGTTGATTCTACTTATGATGAAACATGTTGGGCAAATGGATATGAAAGGGAATGTTACAGGGAACAAAAGGAGGGGAAGCAAAACTTAGCTCATCTGGTAAGATCATTGCCATTCACTTGTGCCAGGAATAGAAACTCACTGAGGAAAAATAACTCTAACCACCTAAGGAAATGGCACATAGGAGCAGAGACCATTAAGGTGAAAGGAAGCCTGGCAAAAATGTGCAAAGTGGAGTTCCACATTGGTCAGGGAAAGACATTGCTGAAGGAGAGGATTTGGACAAATAAAAAGGAGAGGATGGAGTGGAACTTTGTGCCAGTTTCTGCCTCATCTAGTGTTGAAGAGAGTGAGGAAGATGAAATGACAGATTATGAATCTGCCAGTTACATTCCCTGCCAGGGAGAAGTCCAGCTGGTTGACCTAGATCCAGGAGTGAAGAGGGAAAGAAAGGAAGAAAGAGTGTTGTGTCACAGTTGTGGCCGCTCCTTCCGTCGGACATCAGAATTCCGCATCCATGAACGAGTGTGCATCTTGGGCCTTGATCCCATTGAATATCATTGTCCCCATTGCCCAAAATCCTTTCGCTCTAAGCATTATGTCAATGAGCATGTTGCACATCAACATAATGGCAGAAGACCATTTTTATGTGATGTGTGCAAGATGAGCTTCACTACCCGAGTGGTGCTCAGGGACCACATGAAGACTCACACAGGGGAAAAACCCTTCCTCTGTGATCTGTGTGGAGAGCACTTTGCAACATTAATGGTGATGCGACAACACAGGCGTGTTCACACAGGTTCCCGCCCATACAAGTGTCAAATCTGTGATTATCGAGGGACGCAAAGAGCTTCTATCTATGTCCATTTCAAGCATCATCATCCTGAGAGCTTGAGTATGAAGAGAAAGCATGTCTTTATGAAAGAGTGATGAGTCTTGTTATGATGTGTTGTGTTCATTGTGCTGCAGCTTTATAGAGTACCACTGTTGTGGGGAAACCAGAGTGTGCTCCTTGTGATACATAGGATATTATATCAAAATAAAAATCCTTCCTCCTTGACAGACAGGAAAATTTGTCATTATGAGCATAAATTTGATTAGGAGAGCATGTTACATTATATGGAAGCAAATGCTTCATGCCCATATTAGTAATTGTGCATTAATTGAAGCATTGTTAACACCTCATCTTGTTATCATACAATAACCAGGTTGTCTGTTCCTATTTGAAATTGAGAAAAGAATATGATTCAAGCAAGCCACAAACTGCAACCTAGAGAATGTAATTCTATGGCAATATCCATTAAGTGGTGGTGGGATCTTTGTACATGTATGTCTACTCAGAATTTCTGCCTAATCCCCCAAAATTTTTTCAGTGAAATAAAAACTAAAACTAGTTCATCAAGTAGGTTTGACAAAGAGAATCATATAATGTAAATTAGACCACTAGATTTTCTTTCTTTTCTTTTGAAACTGAGTGCAAAGCAGGCAAATGATAGATCTTTAGTCTTGCATCATGTATCCTGTGAGGTACACAGGCTTCAAAGTAAAACTAAGGTGGCCTGCAAATTGTGTTTTGCAATTAATCATGAAATGGGATCATTTAAAAATATGTTGGAGTTAGTATAATCCCCCTCTCCACTCTAATCCAAGGTTATTCAGAACATCTCTCAAGGTACAGGCTTATTGAAGAATCCATGGTAAAGTCTGCTCAGTCATTAGAGCTTGAATAGATCCTTGGAAAAGCATATAGAGCTGTAATTAATTTGCAGAGCATGAGCTTGTAGACATATCGTCAGGGTCATTCCAGCCCAAATTATCCAAAAGGATGAAAATGTGGTGGCACTACCATCTTGGATTTATTTGCTGATAATTTCCCTCAAAGGCCTTGCTGAAAATAAAACCACAACCCAGGTTCTGGTTTCTACCTTTTGCAGTTTTTAAATATATGATTTTTGAAAATTATATAGCCTAATTCTGAAGAGGAAAGAAAACGGAACTTCATTAGCCAAAACTTTCTAAGTTATTGTCCGATTTGATAGAACTTTTTCAATGGGAAGAGATGACAATGGGAAGTGGGGGTTATGGAATCCGATTCAAGGATACAGCTGCAGACAATCGACGGCTGCAAACCATACCGCAACATCGATGACCCAAGGTAAAACTACCAATGTTCGGACAGTTAAGCTGGTCGAGCCTTATAATTCGCGCATCCTGTCTCAACGGTACGAGACGAAATATTTTTTGCGCTTGGGAGCACGAAATGAGTTGATATGAGTGCTACAAAGATGTTCTTCCAAGCCTTATGATCTCCGATAGTGCACGTTATGAGCATGTTCGAAATTAGATGCAGAAAACAAATTAAATCAGACACTTTCACCTTAGTACAAACACCCCCTTTCTCACCCAAGTCTAAGAGACTTGAAACACTCCGCAGTGGTGCAAAGGAATGATAGCCCGCTCTCTAAGTATGGATATTTTCTCCATTCTCTAGTATAGAACTGTCGTGAGTGAGTGACTGACTGACATTAATTCTAACCTTGTTCTAGATGAGAGAGAAAGATGAAACTTTACACGAATAGTTCTTATGGTGCTGATTTGAGAGAAATCCGACCTTGGGAATACATCCTCTGGGGCACTTGTTTCCTCAGGGATGTTTTCAAGAAAAGGATAGCGAAACAGAGACATATATAGGGTAGTTTTAAAAAAAAACGCTTACCGTTTTCTATTGGAGAAACACAATTTCATGAATGTAGAAAAAAAATTACATTGGATACGCAATTGATATTTGACAGTTACAAGGTGTTGAAATGTTAGGTCAGCTATTTTGCAGCATCCCTGCCTAAGTCGTGCAACGCCTATTTAGAGGTGAATTAATGGTGCTTCGAGATTGATCATTCCACCTCAAGTGAGGTGATTACCTGTGCTCGACCGTGTCAGAATCAAATAAAATTTTCAACTTTAACTTTTCAAGGGACAGTTGGATCCAGCTAATACTTGACTGAGAAGTTCATGAGTCTAATAGGTTTTTTCACTTCTGCAAGATGGCAATGTATTCCGATAGAGGGCGCTGCCGTTGACCGGGTGACCGAGGGTGATTTTAAGAAAAAGTTTAATGTTCCACCTGTTAACTGTGTAACAGGGCAATACATGGCTCAGAGAATTGTTCAGAAAAAAATAAGGCAATCTTTTCAACACCACCAATATGTCCAATATCAAGAGTTTATGTAGATATATTCGGCGACGGCTTCGGCTTTGCTTGCGTTCGTCGAGCTGCCGACGACGAACGAACCCGAGGAATACATTTTGGGGAACGAAGGTGGAGGATTTGACGAAGGAGAAAATTAGGTTCATCGTAACGGATA